GCCACGCGTGCTCGCCACCTACAGCCCCGTGAAAGTTTTTGGTGAGAAAATGAATAACTCCAGAACCAGGAAAGCTGGAAGGCTGAAACTTTCAGGAAATGTTCTCAACTCATCTACAACTTGAATTTATCAAATTCAGCTCCCCTTTATGCGTGGTGGCTGCGCACGGCCCCGTGAAATTTGTTAGCTGCAGTTTCGGTAACTCGGAAACTGAGAAAGCTGGGAACATGGGATTTCGAGGGAATGTTCCCTGTCCAAGTACAGCGTGGATAATTAAGTTCCCGAAATTCGAGGACCAGTGTACAAGAGGTTTCTAGCTAGCGGAACTTCAATTAATCTTATTACAGCAGGAAACACTGCAAAAACGCATGATCGCACGGGGCCCCCAGTGCGCGCCGCCAATGATTTTACATTCCTATTGGCCAACATAATTGAACTTCGTCATTATGACGGTTGTGATCTTTAATCATTTTAAGTTAAGCAAATTATATTTGAAAGGAAAAGGAAACAAATATAGAATGTTTCAGTGCGATTAATTTAAATAAACGTGAGAAACCATAGAAGTGTGTTTTGTTTTGGTGAAATATGTATATTTATACGTCAAGTAAATGTTGGAAATGAAAAATGCCACTGGATTTGCCGGATCTCTGACCTCACTGCTACGGGTGTAAACGTACAACGAGAAAAAGCGTGCAGGATAAAGGGTTGCAAAAGGAAGCATGACATGGCTATCAGCGATATGTCACTTAGTAGCAATAAGAAAGCGTTGGAGTTCGCTACAATTTGGGGTGCAGTTGCGGGTGTTGGATCTTCGACATTATTACTACCACGGATCTCAGAATTCTCAACCTAATTGCTTAGCCGTTTAAATATAATTGTTTGTTCACTTCGTGTTCGTAATTTTGTTTGTTTTCAGTTTCAAATCTTCAGGAAGTTGCATCTTCCCTGTTAGGATACTGTAAATCTGAGCGATAATTTACCGCAAAAATTCACTAATAGTTGCTCATACATCAAATTTCGGGGATTACAGTGAACTTTTGAAAATGTTCTTTTTAAGACAACAAAACTCGGCTAGAAGCCCTTTTTCAAAAAGGAATTTGGATCTTCGAATTTCGAGAAACTCGGGAAATTTAATTTGATCTATGTAGACTATCTTTCCAACTAAAATGTATGGTTCGACTTCACACTTCATATAAGTTGGATTGTGGTCATCGTCTTGTTCGAAGAGTAGTCATCGTTCGGGAACGGAGTGACATTTTTCACTTACCACTATCATTGCTATCCTGCGACACAAACCTTTAATGCAGCGAATGATTAATTAACTAAATCAATGGGAAAATAACCTGCCAATGCAGCTTCTAATTAATTTGATGAGGATTAAAACGAAAGGGCGATTTTTTATGACCAATATACAGGCAACAAAGCATATATGCTATAAATGCGGGGGCACCAAGCGAAGGTAGACGATTTCGGTAAAACAAAACCCGCCGTTGCAACGGTTTGTGCGTGAACGATCTTCAGTGGCAATGCGACTTTATAGAAATGTTTTAAATGATATTTTTTGAATATTAACTGAACTTTTAGCAATTTATATTTCGTACTCAACGTTCTTTCTGCACATCCAATGCTATGTTCCTATTCACAAATGCGATGCGTCTTCCTCCCTCTCTTAGTTGAGATTAATTTTTTTTTAATGATATTCTGCAATTTCCACTTCCCCAAATTAAATTTAATAAATCCAAAGAAAAAATACTCATTTATCTAATCTCACCTTGTATATGCTTGAATTCCGCACTTATAATTCTGGCAAAATTTCCAATCCTTAGAAAAAAGACGGAACGCGTTACCTCTGTCTCCTCAGTCCTATAGAGTCTGTATGTATGTATGACATGTTTGTGTGTGTGTGTTTTCTCATATCTGTCCAGATATTTCAATCTAGCAACGAGAGCAGGTAGAAAGTTGAATTTTTACGGCGATTTTTTCTGGTAAAGACTAGCCTCTCCAACTCGAAATCAACTTTTACGTATACCAAATACGTTCGAGCACTTGAAAGTTTTAGCAGGAAATTTTCTGCCTCGGAAACTAAACAAGTTAGAGCAATGAGACTTCAGGGGATAATTTCCATCATGCGCAGCTCCGAAATCTAAATCCAGCTTCCACACACGCTTATACCTCACGTATAGGCGCGTAATATTTCAAGCAGGAAATTATTCGCACTATTCTAACTCGGGAATCAGAAAAAGCAGAAAACTAAATCTTCAGGAATATGTTTTTTGTCCATGCGCGACCCTGGAAATTTAAATTCAACTGTCACTTGCGCTGAGGCCTAGAGCGCGACATGTTGCTGACAGCTGTTGGCATCCTTCAAAGAACTACGCAAAACGCGTGGTCACACCGGCTAGCTGGTGAGCGTCACTATTTCTTAATTTTACTTAACAAAACCTTGAGCTGTTTTCGTTCTGTTTTGCTTTTGTGCATTGAAATTGAGGCTTATCAGCTTAATTTATGATATTCTAGTTTCTCTCCCTAAGTAAAAAATTGCCTGTTGCCCTTGTCATTTGAGCACAAAAGTGAAAAAACAAGAAAGCTATTTGAATAATGAAATGAGAGAGGAGGTCGCGAGATAATTGTCATGATAATAATAATCGTGATAGTGATAACAACAAATGATATCCAGACAAACGCAGTCAACAACTGCTATTTTGAAGATTATGAAATGCTGCGGAGAAAGTGTAATAAAATACAAGCAGTTTGAGCAGCCAGTACTGCAACATAAAATACACTGCTGGGGTATTAAAAGCTGAACAAAAAACCATGGCAAATGAACCCAGGATCCAGAATCCATGCAAACATTTCATCTTTAAAAACTTCAATGACGGGAGGATTCCTGATCGAGCCCATCGCAACGTTCACCTAGTTCAACCATGCAATAATCTTGTTGTTCGCCTTCCCATTCTCGACTCCGAATTCGCCCAAGTTCCACAGCTTCCTCCTTTTTCTAAACTCGCCCCTTTTATTCCCCGAAGCATACACTGATAAGCAGCAAAAGTGAAAAGATTATAATGAAAGTTCCATGACTCACTCTCTATGAGGGAGTGGAAGCAAACATGGAAAATTTGAAAAAATGCAGCACTTGAAAAGCAATGAAGCATAACAGTCAAAGAAAGAATCATGCGTGTTAAGTTACACTTTGCTTGCATTTCTCCCTTTTCTAGACTAAAATTCACGAGTATCGCAAGCTCAAAAATATATTCGCAAATCACAAAAGAATACCGAGAAAGTGAATCTAAAAAATGGGTTACAGGTGTTCTTCCAAAATTTGCGAAGAATTCATAAATTTTGTTTTTCCCATGAGCAACTGTGCTGCAGCAACTTAACACTGAGATATGCGCTTTAGAAACTAAATAAAACCAAGTGGCCTTGTAAGATCGAAATGTGGATCGAACAAAGTGTCAGCTAGTTCCCTACTGATTGCGTAAATCCCTAACTGGTAAATCCTTTCAACGTTTTTGTGTCAAGGACATGAAAACGATCGAGATTTATCGCAATTTACAGTTTAATTGCTCGTTTATAAATTCTTAGCGGAGCGCAACGGAAAGCAGCCGCAGTCATATCTTTTCGAGGCATTCCGTTGTGGAAGAGTGAAAAACACGGAATTTTTGCTGCCTTGCTACGGTGTTTATAGATCTTTTCGTCGGGAGATAATATGTAGTTTAAATACGAATAACTGGCCAGTGCATCGACTGTCGGTGCGAAAACGCGTTTTATGCATAGTTCTCCGTAGGTTTTTGTCGCTAACGGCACTGCTTTTTCTGGCAAATGCTTCTAGCTAAAAAAACTGAGACTAGCCACCACAACAATGTCAAACATTCCTTTAAAATTTCGATTTTCTAGCTTTTCTGTTCCTGAGCTAGCAGATTACCCACAAAAAAAAACTTTGACGGGCCTGTACGTGGGAACCACGCTGTAAGAGCGCCCATTTTGAGGATAGGGGCCATATGTGCACGTAGATTAAGTTGCCAAATCTTAAGCTTTGTTGCTTTTGCAACTTTCGAGATGAAAAATCGGTACAGAGCATACAGACACGCACAGGCACAAATAACTCTTTTACAATATGCTTTTTGCACTGCACAGATGCAACTTAGTCGACAGCGCAGCGGCTGCCAGTGCGGAGATGTGTTTTTTGCACATTTCCCCGCAGGTTTTTGTTGCTAATAGCATTGTCTTTTCCGGCAGATGCTTCTAAGAGAATTCAGAGTAGCCACTGCTAGAAATTATTTCAATGATTCCCAATCAATGTCCAAAAAACTCAGCACACTAGATGCTTCGGTTGTGGGATTACGTCAAATTCCACGTGTTCGTACATGAGTGGTAATGTGAATGCTGTCTTTTTTTTAGTGTGCTTGCTCAAAAACAGTGTTGCATCACGCTCAGAAAATTTCAGCACTTCAGCTGCTCTGGTTTTGGTGTTACTCAAAATTTTACGAAAAAAGGAACAAAAAAGGAATACAAAATGAACATGAAAGCTGTTTTCATGTCCACCCCTGTCAAACGTCGTCGTCGGCCACGCTTAGAATTTTCCAGCCCACTAGCTGCTTCAGTTTCCTTTGCATCCCACATGCCCACACGTGAAAGTTCCTGCATGAAACTTTCACGTGTGGGCATGTGGGATGCAAAGGGTTGGAAAGTTCAATTTACTTTCCACGGACATACCAGTAGGCAGCAAAATTATAGTCCTCTACAATTTCTTAGCATAAATCTGGAGTTGCCGTGATGTCAGTTTAAAATTTAACGTGTGCGATGTGAAACCTAGAGGTACGTGAAAGCTGAATTTGAAATCTTTGGATTAGACGTGAGCAAAGAATATTTCTGCAAAGTTTCAGCCTCCTAGATTGCGACGCTCCCGAAAACGCTTCCTCGCCAAAAAAACCTTCACGTGCCTCTGCGTGAGAACCGCAAGTGAGCGCTCATTTCGAGGATGAGGGCTCAAGTATGTTAGGTTAAGTTGTCACAATTTCAGCCTTGCAGCTTTTGTAGACCACAAGATGAATACTCGGTACAGACGCACATACAAGCACTCACACATATACACGTACACATAGACACACAGACACACAGACACACACACACAGACGAACCCTCGACAATATGCGTTTTTGCATTGCGTGGATGCAAAAAACGCATAAAAAGGATTAAAAGTACAACTTACTGGTGCGATGCTGAGACAGAATGCTAAATTTTTATCGCAGACACGGGTGATACCTTCCACTCGGACGGCCTCCAAGGTACTTAGTTCACATACATTGGGCAGAAGCAATCTAGGATAGAGGGGCCTGGCAGAGTTGCGCTTAGCGTATGAGAGCGTCTCAGTAACAGCACTAACATGGAATGCTAACATTAATAGAACGAGTTGTCTCGGTTTTATTGGTAAGTTGGTTTTGGTTCCCAGGTCGTAACACTTCCCAAATTTTGGAACTTTTACTTTTTTTTTTTTTGTTTTTTGAGTCATGATCGAATTTCAACCCGGTGCTGCAAGCCAAACAAACAGAATCTGGATCATACACGACCGCAAAGTTTATTCACAGAATTTTAGCTTTTTGACTTCCGAAATTCTGATTTGAAATATATGATTAGACAAACATGCGCAGAGGCTGTCGTATAATTTTTTACCGATTTCCAGAAGAAAAATGCTTCGTGAGTATATTCACCGATGGAAGAATATTGCTCGTTTTACCAAT